CAAACAAAGTCTCTTTGGAGGACCATATCTAAGTAGAAAGCATAAGAAATTGGGGAGTGGGGAGGGATAAATAAAATTCCCTTTAAGTGTCAATTCTGAAAGCTGGAAACTTTCTACAAATACTCTGTGGGATATTAGATTTTTAGTAAAATGTTATCTTTACTGTGAAAATAATAGAACTTTTGTTCAGTGTTTAAGAGTTGCCTGTCAAATAAATGATAGTGGTTACATAGGTAAATGTATTAGCTTGGTTTCGGGCTGTACGTGACTGGTCTTAGTCACTAAATTGTAGATATATTCTCCAGTCTGTCCAGCTTCTTTCATGTGATAAAAATTTGGCACAAATGCTAACTTTGATTTTCCTTCATACTTTTGGCCATTTGACTAGGAAGAAGTACTATATATTCTGTATACAAAGTTAACTAAAACTTTAGTTAATTTTTTCCCCTAGCCTTAACCTCTTTTCTGTGATTTTGAATTGTGAAATTAAAGGAAACTTAATTTCCAGAATATTTACAGTTGAAGTTTTATTGAAAGAATATCCTTCTTATGAAACTTTGAGAATGAATTTTAAAATGTAGATTAATAATACAGTTCTTTTTTTCCTGAAGAAATTCTGTTTGCCTGAAGAGGTAAATACATTTTCACTTAAAATTCATATGCCATTTAATCTTTATAGTGGGTAAATTTGTTGATGCTTAGAGCTGTGTTATGAGTTTGTTCACAGGGCAAGTTTTTTTTTTTTTTTAATTGAGGTATAATTGGCATCCATCATATTAGTTTCCAATACACAGCATAATGATTACGAAGTATAGTTAACATCCAAGATCTACTTTCTTAGCAACTTTCAAACATGCAGTGCAGTAATGTTAACATAATCACCATGTTGTATATTAAATTGCTGTAATAATAAAACCTCCTTGACAGCTGAAGTTTGTGCCTTTTGGCTTCCTTTACCCATTTGGCCCACCCCCTCTACCCTGCTTCTGGTACCATTTATCTGTTCTGTGAGTTTGCTTTCAGTCTTGACCATATCAGTGTTTTTATGCTTTTTGTATTGAAATCAAAGTCATATATGCCATCTCTTTAATTTCAGTGCTTTAGGAATTAATGTCAGAGGTTTCATGTGGAAAATGTTGATGATTATTTCCACTGAAATGAAGGTATATAATCCATGGTTAGAAGACTCATATATTTCAGTACTTGAAAGAGTTTATGACTGGACTTAAACCTTAAACCTTGTAGCTTCTGCATTATGAGATGCCTATTAAGATGGAATCTTTGAGTTTGTTTTCATTTCAGTTTGTCAAAACAATTTTCAGCAGTTTTTTTTATTAGTGTAACTCTAACTTTGTGTTTTAAAATTTAATTAATAAAATATGGTAGGTATACTAATTGGTGAAGACAACACAGAATACTCACATAGCAAGAAGGAAATTATTGCATGGTGATTTTTGGGCTCATGTCTGGAGCCAAAGAGTTAAATTTTGAGAATCTGAGATTGTAGTGAACTCTAGGGGGGATAGGTTGCCTGCATATCAGGGTTCAAAGGACTAGTTCCTCATGAGATGATTTGAACTTTCTTCATTTGGAATTGTCTGTAATGTAAGGGATTGAACTTGATCACCCCCAAGGGCCCCTTCTGTCTCTGTTGATAGCTGGCAGAAGGGAAGATCCTATGTGTATTATATGTTACTCTTACATTTACTTTTGGGCAGTTCAAACTCCAAAGTTTTACAGAGCCTGGCCTCCTTACTTGAAGACCAGTTTATGCTTTAAAAGCAGATAGCACTTAGGTAAATGTCTTCTTACTTGCCACTTTTCCTCTCTTAAATTTCAAGAATTTACCCGTGAATCGCCTGGTGCTGATTGACAAACTCTGAAGGTTTGGGGAGCACTATTAAGGTTACTTTACTAAATATAGGTTAAATTAACCACTATGACTTCTATATTCATTTGAATCACTTAATGCCCCATAATATACATTAAGCATTTAATAGCCAAAAATGGGCAGGTAAGATCTCCTAACCCTCTTTAATAATAGTTTTCTTTGCTTTTCAAAGTGAAAGGAACAGTATCATGCTGTTCTATTGTGTCCACACTGTTGGGGGTCCAGGCAAGATGGCTTGGAGATGGCTTTTGAAGTGGTGAAATTTCCTGGATGAATTCTGAAATAGATGGGTCTTTTATTTAGTTCTTGGTGGTGGTGGTTTAGTTGTTACTTTGTGTCCGACTCTTGTGACTCCATGGGCTGCAACCTGCCAGACTCCTCTGTCCATGGGATTGTCGCAGCAAAAATACTGGAATGGGTTGCCCTTTTCTTCTCTAAGGGGTCTTCTGGACCCAGGGATCAAACCTAGGTCTCCTGCATTGCAGGCAGACTCCTACATTGCAGCAGATTCTTCACTATCTGAGCCCCCAGGCAAGCCATACAAGGTCATACATTTTGTTGATGTTGGAGTTAAGATCTGAATCAGTCAGGGGCAGTTTGACTCAGGAGCCCAACATTTGTCATCAAATGACCTACCTTATTGCTTTCAAAGAATAGGTAACAAAAGTTACTCCTTTCATCTCAGACCCAGTCCTCTTTCTCAGAGTCAGTCAGTACCACCTTGAGGGGGATATGTTTCAAGATCTTGAGTAGATGCCTGAAGCTGTAGATAGTACTGAGTTCTGTACATCCTGTGTGTTTTTCTTATACTAATGGGTGCGGAGCATATATATATAGTGGACGCAGTGGACAGAAGGATGATTCACATTCTGAGTGGGACAGACACGGATGGCATGTGATTTCACCAGCTATATGGGATTGAAAACTTTACTTTGAAAATTGTAATTGAAAAGTTTAATTTGAAAATTGTAATTGAAAACTAATTTTTTTCCATTTATTTTTATTAGTTGGAAGCTAATTACTTTACAATATTCTAGTGGTTTTTGCCATACATTGACATGAATCAGCCATGGATTTACATGTGTTCCCCATCCCGATCCCACCTCCCACCTCCCTCTCCATTCCATCTCTCTGGGTCTTCCCAGTGCACCAGCCCTGAGCACTTCTCTCATGCATCCAACCTGGGCTGGTGATCTGTTTCACCCTTGATAGTACACTTGTTTCAATGCTGTTCTCTCTGAAATCCCACCCTCGCCTTCTCCCACAGAGTCTAAAAGTCTGGAAAAGTTAATTTTTAATTCAATATTTTTGTACCATGGCTGATCAGGTAGGTAACTGAAACCATGGAAAGTGAAACTGGTGATAAGGCCAGAGGGGAGGGGTTAAATTAACAATGTCTGTTTTATGAATTTATTTATACCAGTTTTTAATGTGTAAATAATACATAAACATACATATGCAAACCTTCTAAATTTATATGTACACATAGATGGAAATTATACTGTTTTTCCTGTAGCATATCTGGGAGAGACCTTTCCATCAGTTCATGTAAATTGAACCTTCCTCTTTCTTTTTTAATGTTTGCATAGTATTTTTTCTTGTTTTCTTTCTAAAATTGAGAATAATTCTATTAGTAATTTGAACCTTCTGACTAAAGTTTATTTAGTATATTAATTGGTGGTGTGGTAATGTGTGATAGAAATAGCCCTTTTCTACTGAATTGGGTCAGTATGTGACTCAAAAGAAAACCCACTTTGCTGTTACAGTGGATGGAAATCTCTTAAAACCCAGTAATAGGTTAAGTTATGATTAATTTACATTCTTTTTGGCACAGCTTTTGTAATGTCGTATGATTAGTCTTTCTGTTCCCTCCCCAAAAAAGAGAAGTTAACTGAAGAACTGTGCTTGGAATTTGACTGGAGACTTAAAAATAGTGTCAGATTTAACTTATAAAAATTGCAAAAAAAAAAAAAAAATTGCAGTTTTTTTTCTCTCTCTATAGTACCTTTGACCTATTTTATCAGCTAAACTCATTTTCTTTGAAAATCAGCCTTTTTTTTCCTGTGTATTAGTTTCTTATAGAAAGATAAAAAGTTCAAATGAATTAAGAACTCTGCTTTGAACTAAATTGTTATTACACTTATGAACTATGTTCACAGATTTCTTACTTCTAACATCTCCATGAAGTAGATAATAACTGATTTTACAGAAGAGGTAAACAAATCTAGAGAGCAAGTTTCTTGTCTGGAGTCAGAGCCAGCACAGCTGATGTTGAAATCCAGGAGATCTGGGGCCATTTCTCAGTTTACTATGCTTGAGCTGCTTTTTCCTGGTTTCTCCATTAAGATATTACATCTCTGCCATTTCCTTTGTATTCATGGTTTCATTTGGCCACAGCAGTACTGTGAAGTACCCATGGCATATGTTTCTATTCTGTGGCTGGGGAATCTGAGGCTAAAGGTTGTGGACCTGTTCTGTGACAGGACTTCAGCCAAGGTGTTGAGTTTAGATGCAGTGCTCCTTTCCTTTACTAGAAATGTGTAAACAAAGATTTCTACTTGTGCTCTGTTTTTTTTTTTTTTCCTCAATTGGGAATTTCTTGGTCATTGCATGAGAAATATAAGTAGATTTTATGTGCTGGGTTCTGGACTTAATGCCTTGAATTTGATATAGTCCTGACACTTTATGAGGCTTCCTTGGTGGCTCAGATGGTAAAGAATCTGCAATTCCAAGACACTTGGATTCGATCCTTGGGTTGGAAAGGTCCCCTGGAGAAGGAACTGGCAACCCACTCCAGTATTCTTGCCTGGAAAATCCCCATGGGCAGAGGAGCCTGGTGGGCAACAATCCATGGGGTCACAAAGAATCGGACATGACTGAGCAACACTTTTATGACACATAAATCGACCAGACTTCACAGTTTAATTAAGACAGTGCAGCGTTGGTGAAGGCTGTCTGATCAAACTGTGTATATAGAGTTTCCTCTTTTATGGTTCCTTCGTTTTCGGTGTCGTATCATATATAGTTGACAGTTTATTTTTTTCTTTTTTTCCCTTGTAGTGAATGGTAGTGTCTAGAAAGGGTATGTCCCTTCAAGAGAGAGGTGCCAATGTCCAACCGGCCTAATAACAATCCAGGGGGGTCACTGCGACGTTCACAGAGGAACACTGCCGGGGCCCAACCACAAGACGACTCGATAGGAGGAAGGTATGTATTTAACGGTAATTTGAAAAGAAATTGGGATTAAAGAAAGTTTTTTTAAAACCTCACTGTATGTACCAGAGCTTAAATGGCTCACTATAAATGGGAATTTCTTTTCTAATTTTTGAGCTAGGTAGCACAAAACTGGAATTCAGAGTGATTATCTAATCACCCCCACCCCCACCCCCAGGCTCAAAAAATAGTTCTCAGTCATTATCAAAACTTGAATCTCTGGGTTGTTAACATGTGGCACATTGTGTCTTGTTGGCCCCTTTTCTTTCTCCTCACTGTCTTATACACAGGCTACAACATACCTTTCAACCATTTGTGATCCCTTCCTTCATGTGTGTTGTGACTTGGTTTATTTATCTTATTTGAAAGGAACCTTCATTTGTTTTACGATCTTGAGTTTTGTTGCCTAGCTTTTGAGTTTTTTCCCCATCTTACTTTTTGACATGTGGATGCTGACAGGCTGGTAAGGTTGTCTGTTACCACATCCACTCTCAGTGTTTGATGTTGAGTTGGTCTTTTTTAGTTGGAGTCGTTGTATAGGAGGTAATATGAAGAATCAGATACATTCTGCTGAATGTTGAATTCCATATCTGATTTGGCTAAGTACTCTCATTTTATGCATAATATATTCAGATTTGCTTGGGCCTACTTTTCCAGTGCATGGACTCATCATAGATTAAAGTAGATTGTGGCTAAACTCTAATAAGATTACCTTATGCAACATTTTGAGGCGTTATCATGTATATATTGTCTTGTTTAGTCACTAAGTCATGTCCAACTCTTAGTAACCCCATGGACTGTAGCCCACCAGAATCCATGGAATTTCCCAGGCAGTAATGCTGGAGTGAGTTGCTGTTTCCTTCTCCAGTATATTGTCTAGTAAAAATATATATATAATTTATAAATATTTTATATATTTATAAAAGGTAAACATCAAATGTAAAGAAGAAATTGAAGTATGTCTTGCTTATGTCAGGCTGTTTTAGTGGTTGAACATTTGGACGTTGGGCTAGGACAGTTTGTGTGGCATTTTTGTCTCTTGTGAAATAGCTGTGTGTCCTTTGTTATATATCCTTCAGAAAACCTCGATTTTTTTTTTTTTTTTTTAGTCCATACAGTGAGGATACTTATTTTACAGGGTTATTAGTTAATTTAAGTATTATAGTATGTTAAACTTTTAGAACAATGCTTAGTACAGAGTTTTGTCCTAAATTTTTTGCTTTTTTTACATTTAGATTATTCTTTGGAGTAGCCATACTTTATTTATGCTCCTGATTAGAAAATATCACCCCCCCCATTACAAAAATGTTACATATTTTAGAGAACTTGGAAAATACAGGGAAGTATAAAGAAAAACATTGTATTTTCACAGTCCACTTAGAGTCACTGCTAACACTGACCCGTTCCTGCACGTGCATGCACATGCATATGCTTGGTGGTTCATTTGTGTCCAACTCTTGTGGCCAGCTCACCAGTCTCCTCTGTTCGAGACATTTCCCAGACAAGAATACTGGAGTGGTTGCCATTTCCTTCTCCAGGGGATCTTCCCCACCTAGGGATCGAACCTACATCTCCTGTGTCGCCTGCATCACAGACAGATTCTTTACCCACTGAGCCATAGTAGATGTGCATGCATAAGCATATAAGTTACTTGTAATTTTCAAACGGAGTTTTGTACACATTAATCCCCAGGTTATGCTTAGACTCTTGATATGATTGACAAACATTTTGCACTGTCACACAGTATATTACTTGTAAATCCAGTGATGTTTCAGCACCATTATTTTTTCTGCACCTCAGCGGTAGGGAAAATTATTTAAATATTTTATTGTATTATGTATTTAAAAATGTGAGTGGAAAACAAATAGACACATTTAATTCTAGTTGATTAAGATTAATTGGCTTTAATAGCAAAGTTGCGCTCAAGATTGAACTCAATTAGATGTGTAGAATGGACTTTAAGCCAGTCAATGATGTGTGCTCAATTGATGGAAAATAATGAAATTTAAGTTTCTTTGGAATGGCAGAAACATGCCAAAATACATAAAGCAAGGTGTAATTAGGAGTTTTTGTAAGACTTGAATCCTTCCTCCCTTTCAGTAGGGCAGCCCCATTTCATCTCTCACGATTTCAACTTTTATATCTTCGAGAAACATTTCCTGGCAAAAATAGTACACAAAAGAGGGCATATTCACTTTTTTGAAGTTTAGTATCATATGTGTTGTTTCCTGTCTTTAAAACTTGTTGAAAAACATGACTTTTAAAGTCTTCATGTCTACTTGTGTGTTTAATACCATAATTTAGTAATTTTGATTGTTTAGGTGTTTCCTGTTTTTATGTGGAGAAGTATAATTATGATCAGGACGTAGGAATTTGGAACTTCGGTCAAAATGTCTTATCAGTTTGGCTAAGAATGCAAATGAGAATATATTTGCACATCTGAATCTCATTTTGCCATTTTAGCCTGCTTGATTGTTTTGTTTGTGATAGATTGTCAGAACTGGAAGGGACCTCAAACCCCAGACTGACTTGTGAAGCCCCAGTGGAGTGTGCTGTAGTAGCAATTATGTAACTTCTGAGAAACCTCTCCAGGGATGTTGGGGAGTTAGAGGATTGGCATTAATTGGGAGAGAGCAATTTTAACTGTATTTTCCATTCTTTTAACCTGATTCCTGTTGCTAGCTTTCCTTAAGTAAAATACTCCTATTATTGTGACTTTTGTTTCCAAAACACAGTGGCTTTGGTCTTGTGGATGTATTCAGTGGTCCAGTGATTGAAATAGTAGCACTAATAACAGCATCTACTCCAGCAGATCTACATATTCTTTCACTTTGAGACTCAGAAACTGTGTGATAGTAAATATGTAGTCCCTGTTTTGTAAATGCTTGCTCAGCTTTACACAGCTGCTGTGTAGAGACAGGGTTCAATTCCTGACTGCTTCACTCTACAGTCCGATTCCTTTCTTTATGCCCACTGTTTTTACTGCACAAACTACTTGATCCAGATGATGAAAGACTTAGAGGAGGTCGTGAAGTACTTACAACTGAAGAGTATTTAACTCTTTCAGTTTAGAATTTTAAGTTTTTTCCCTCCTAGAATTTCTTAATTCATTCCTTTTTGATTTGCTCTGTTTCCTTCCCAGCTTGGGTGAACGTGTCCTTTTTTTGTGTAGCTTCCTTTCTGTGACCACTTCTGTCTTTTTCCCAAATCAAGGACACTTACCTTTTTTTTTGCCTTAAGAAGAAAAGGTTTAGTTCATCCATAAGGTAAAAGAAACTTGATTCTTTGGGATATATTTATTTTCTCTTGATTATTCCCTCTATTTTTCACCCATTCTTCATCTCATTCCTAATGAAAGTAGATACCTTTCTCCTCTTGTGTTGTTTTTCTCTTCTCCCTTCTTCCATAGTTTGTTGGGCGGCTGTTGATCTGTTCCTCTCTGCGTGCTCTTTCTTCTTCAGGAAATCCTTCACCTCTTCTGCTTGTGTGTGGGCTTGCTCTGAGGGATATTACCTAGCCTTCCCACTGCTAGCACAGGTATTTGCAGGCTGTCCCTCCCTCTTGGCTATTCATTAGCATTTTCATTAGCATTTTTTTATTTTTCTCAAATGTCAGTGGTAGGATTGAATTCAGTTTTATAGCAACCTCAGTTAAGGTTGCTGTACTGAAGGTTTGTTTGACATTGTTTTTGTTACAAAAACACAGCATGATGAGAACAGAAAATTGGATGCCTTGGGAGAATTAAAGAACTAAGATAAATTTTATCCATCTACCCAGAGATAATGGTGGTTCGTATTTCTACTGTTTCTACTTCATGATTTGAATTATGGCTTCTAGTTTTTTCCCTCTTTTTTTTCTGTAAAATATATTGCTGCCATGCCTATCACATTTGAGTATGATTATGATTTTATTGAGTCAGATTCCTGCAATAGGTTCATAGGACCCAAGGATATGAATTATTTTGAAGACTTCTTTTTTCTTTCTGGTGCTGCATGACATATGGGATCTTGGTTCCCCACCCAGGGATTGAGCCCATGTCTGGTGCATTGAAAGTGCAGAGTCTTAACCACTGGACCACCAGGGGAGTTCCTGAAGACTTTTTAACACAATGCTAAATTGTCTTTCAGAAAGATCTAATCACTTTGGTTTTTTTTTTTTTCTTGTTTTGACTAAACCAATTTATACTTCTACTAACACTTTGTGAAAATGCCTGGTTCTTCAAATTCTGGTCAATACAACACACCATTTTCAGTAGAAGTTTGTGGGGAAAAGGGATTCCTTTGGTTAAACTTACTGTTTCTTTGATTACCATAGGGGGAAGATCTTCCCCACATATTGGCCATTTTTATGTATTTTATGAGTTGTCTTAGTGTCCTTTTTCTCTTTTAATTTTGAGGATGCTTGTTCTTTTATTAGAACCCTTTATGAAAAGGGAATCAACCTACAGAGATGGGCAAGTATTTTTTGTTTATGACTTGTTCTACTTTCTTCTAATTTATGGTAGATTTTAAATTTAGGCAGTCAGGTATATTAGCTCTTTGTTTCTTTTCTTCCTTTGCCTTCTCTGAGAATAAAATTTTCTTCTCAGTTCTGTCAGTGTTGTTTTTTTTTTTTTTAATGGTCTGAAGAAATGCTTGAATCCAATCCACTCCACCTTCACACTCCCATTACAAAATTTATCTGCAGAGTTTTACTATTTATTTATTCCTGAGTAATAAATTATGAGATCTAAAGGTTATTGCTTTCTGTTAACATTGCAAAGCAGGGAGTTTTTAAAGCCAGGGTTAATTTTATAGAAAGATACAGATTTGTATTAACATTTTGCTTTAAAAAATTATTTCAAAGGTTTGGGATACAGAAAAACACAAACAGAAAATAAATATCATCCAGAGATTAAGTCTGTTTTGATTTTTATCTGTCTTTATTTTGATGGGGGAATCTTAGTTCCCCAATCAGTTATTGAAGCTGTGCCCCCTGCAGTAGAAGTGAGGAGT